AAGATTCGATAAATAGAATAATCTGAGAAATTCTATAAATCAAACGGGGCGTTACAGATCATTATTTTAAGCACGAACGGCATAGATTTCTTTAGCATTTAAAACTTGACACAAAAAGAATATTAATTTCAGTTTAGGTTTTCAACCCAATGATTTTTTATTTAAGGAAAAAAAAATTATATTATACTATTAAATATAAATTTAATAATAAAAATAATTTTATGTAAAAGAAATAACAATATCATGTGCGTGCATCTTCCTAGTTTTATTGAAGTAGATAGTAAATTTCTAATAATATTATGATTTTCTGTCTTTTGACAAGATATATATCATTGGAGATAAGGTGTGTGATACATTTTGCATTTTATTTCTGTTAGGCCTCCTGGAACTGCATTGTCCATTTTTAAAGACAGCAGCAATAGTTCACTAGAGGATCATGGACCCCAAGATATGTCCAAGTTCGACTTAAAACCATGGCACTCACTGGGTGTCCGAGCAGAAAGAAACAAAGAGAATAGTGCAATTCCTTCAAAGTGGACCTCAACTAAGGTAAAACATTGAATATTAACCTTTTTATTGGTTAATTATCCCGACTTGATGCTTTTTAATCTTTGAGTGAATTCCTTTCTACAGATTCCTCAGAAACCTGGTCAAAGCATAAGAAGACCACCTGGCCCATGCCTTGAGATCTTTGTGGATGAAGAAGAAGACTCGAGGTACATTTTCTTCTCTTCTTTTCTTCGCAATGATTGAAATGCTCGACGAGAACTAGCTAGCTTACAATACTTTCAACATATTCCTTTCCTCCATCTCAAAACATTATTGTTTTTACTCTATACAATAAGTTGCCAAATAAAGTAAACATTATATATATATATATATATATTTTTTTTTTTTCGCTTACAAATTGCTGATGAACATATTGATAGCATCTAGTAGACAAGATAAACGAGAAAACGAGGGGGAGAAGTCTTCCGCTCTGCAGCTCAGGCCTGGGGACGGCCGAGATATTAAGAAGTAAGAAAGAATCAGTCGTTGCTTTGGATAATTGTTTGCATGACCAACTCTTAGTTTTCGAATATCTAATATCCGAGTCTTATTTGATTTCAGAGAAACCGAGCTACTGAGGGAGAACCCGTTGCGTAATTTTCCTCCAAGTTCTTTGCCCAGATAATATAACTACAAACTTTTGCCTTGTATCCATTTTTTTCTTCAGCTGATCGGCTTAAACACTCTTAAGCTTGATCTGTATCTGAGTGTTTTTGTCAAGTGATTCAAAAAAATGTGATTCCTTTTCGTCTTTTTTGTTGGGCGAAATATAATTGTTGTATGCGGATGAGGTTTGGAAATTTCAAATTTCTATTCGGCGCCTGTTCTGCTACTCACTTCTTGTGTGCTTCTCTTGTGATTCCTATATACACATTGCTCCTGATTCATTTATTCGAGGACTTATATCCATCTGCTACTTGTTCTGATGTATTGTTATTCAATTTTTCAGTCAGCTACCATAGATCATGGTTGATGAAAAAACAATTAATATACATTGATACTCTAAATATAAGGAAAAAAAATGTTGATGTATGTTCATTTTATTTTAAACAACCGAGTACATAATTAGATAAAAGACAGAGCATACACTCAGATTGTACAGTGCATTTCATTACTAGGAAATAGACAATGAGGGTATTTTTTCGCATATACTTAGGGATGCAATGGGCTATGGTCGGGCTGGGTAGTTTTGTGCCGGACTTGGCCTGTGGCCATACTCCCACGGCCCGACCTGCCCTGTTTGGTAACGGGCAGGTCAGGCCAGACCAAACCGAGTCCACGCCAAATTGTCATCCCTAACATATGGATGGCTATTTTTTGAATTTGGCAGCTTGAAATTAATAGAAAAAACTCTACGCAATTTGAAATACACGGAATCACATATCAAATCAAAATCTCCTATCTCAACGACATTTTATTCTATTATATCATTACTCAATCATCGAAAAATACTGTTAAAGATTCCACAAATCTTCAAAACAGCCACATCCACTCACCGGTGAATTATCAAAGATTCAAATGTCCAATTAATGTGAATCTTTACATTTTCAAAAAGCTTATTTGCTCAAGTTACCAAATTTATCTCATGAAAAAAAATTGTACTTTTAGATCATCATAAAGTTATACTAGAGTTCTAATTCACACGCTAAATTAAATTAAAAATGGACTTATGAATAAGTTTTATTTTATTTTATTTTTTGCCAAAATGTATATTTCATATACTAAATTATGAGATTTTTTTTTTTTTTATGATTTGAAAATTCATTTTTGCATAAGTCCACTTGTTATAAAAATTAAAAAAGTGTTCATGGATAATGGTTTTTGCAAAGTTGGAAGGAACCCCTTGAATAATTGTGAGATCGCATAGGGGTATTTCTGTCAATTCGTGTAGCCGCTTACCTTGGCCCTCGGAGTACGACTGTATGAGCTCAGATCAACTTTTCAGAACAATCTGGCAAAAGTTAGGGTTTTTTATTTTGGTCCTCAAAAACCCTGCGCGAAGGATTAATTTCCCCCAATTTCCTCAAAAAAATCCCCGGCGACGGCGGTAGGCAATGGCGGAGCACCTTGCTTCCATATTCGGCACCGAGAAGGACCGTGTCAACTGCCCCTTCTACTTCAAGATCGGCGCCTGCCGCCACGGCGACCGCTGCTCCCGCCTCCATAACCGCCCGACCATCTCCCCGACCCTCCTACTCTCCAACATGTACCAGCGGCCCGACATGATCACCCCCGGCGTCGACCCTCAGGGCCAGCCCCTCGAACCCCGCCAGATCCAGGAACACTTCGAGGACTTCTTCGAGGACATCTACGAGGAGCTTCGAAAGTTCGGCGAGATCGAGAGCCTCAACGTCTGCGACAACCTCGCTGACCACATGATCGGCAACGTCTACGCCCAGTTCAAGGAGGAGGACCAGGCCGCAGCCGCACTTGCCGCCCTCCAGGGCCGGTTCTACTCCGGCCGACCCATCATCGCCGATTTTTCCCCCGTCACCGACTTCCGGGAAGCCACCTGCCGCCAGTACGAGGAGAACAGCTGCAACCGCGGAGGCTACTGCAACTTCATGCACGTCAAGATGATCGGCCGGGAGCTGAGGAGGAAGCTCTTCGGACGCAACAACCACCATGGGAGGTACTGGGGGACCCGCAGCCGGAGCCGGAGTGCCAGTCCACATTCGAATCACCACAGGCGGGATAGAGACAGGGATCGGGACAGGGACAGGGACAGGGACAGGGATTACGAGAGGCGGGACAACCGAGGTGGCGGCAGGAGGTCTGGAGGGGACAGGCATGGTGGGGGAAGGTACGAGGGTGAGAGGAAGAGGCAGAGGAGCAGAAGCCCTGTGAGGGAAGGGAGTGAGGAACGGAGGGCAAGGATTGAGCAGTGGAATCGGGAGAGGGAGGAGAAGGGGAAGTAATGTTGTTGGTAAATGCGGAGCCTTTATTTCAATTTTCTGTTTAAGTTATTTCCAACTTGCTGTGCGTTGGTAGAGATACTTGTTTCGAAGGGTGAGTTTAGAACCTTGTGTTGTGTTTGCATTCTATGGGATGATGATCGATGACTTATCTTGATGTGAGTTGTGACCATGAGCTTTTTTATTCTTCTCTAAGGTGGGTTTTTTTTTTTTTTTTTTTTTT